CAAGGCCAGCCTGGTCTACATAGTGAGTTCCAGGACAGCTGGGGCTACTGGGAGACCCTGTCTCAAAAAGACCGAAAAAAAAAAAGAATATTTAAGAGGGCAGATAAGGCCTGTGTGGTGGTGCACACCTTTCATTTTAACACTTGGGAGGCATCAGGAAGCAGATTTCTGTGAGTTCAATGCCAGCCTGGTATACGTAGTGAGTTCCATACCAGCTAGGGCTACAGTGAGAACCTATCTTCACACACACACACACACACACACAAAAAAAAAAAAAAAAAAAAAAAAAGACAAGATGGCTCAGTGCGTATAAGTGCTTGCCACCAAACCTGATGAACTGAGTTCAGTTCCTGATCTTCCACACACATGCACAAATAAATATATGCAAAAAAGGGAGGTTTTTTTAAAGGTAGAATTTTTTTGTTTTTTGTTTTTGAGACAAGGTCTCCCTGTAGTCCCAGCTAGCCTGGAACTCACACAGAGATCTGCTTCTTTCTCCCAAGTGCTGGGACTAAAGGCATGCACCACCACGCCTGGCTAGAAATCTATTTTTAAATATTCCATTTTTGTTGTTTTGATACAGGGTGTCACGTAGATGATGCTGGCCTTAAACTGGCTGTGTAACTGAAGCTGTCCTCGAACTCCTGACCCTACTACTACCACAAGTATGTGATACCAGGTGTAACGCCTTTTATTGTTTCCTTCTGTTTTTTGAGACAGTGTCACTGTGTAGCCCAGGCTGTGCTCCTTGATGCTGGGAATGGGCTAAAGAGATGGCACAGCCCTTAAAGGCTAACAACCAGAATACTGGGAGTGCAGATGTGTGCCACTGTGCTGACTTTTTTTAAAATCCGGATCTCATGCTGCTCCCCAGTCTGATGCAAATTCCTTGCTTCAAGCTGTCCTCCCCACCTCTACATCCTGAGATGTAGGACTGCACCACCACACTTCCATTAAATCAATTTGTAAAAAAACACTCCAAGGCCAGGCCTGATGGCACACACCTTTAATTCCTCCACTCAGAAGGCAGAGGTGGGAAGATTTCTTTGAATTTGAGGCCAGCCTGGTCTACAAAGCAAGTTTCAGGCCAGCCAGGGCTACATAATGAAACTGTCAGAAAAAGGCAGGGACAGGCTGGAGAGATGGCTCAGCAGTTAAGAGCGCTGGCTGCTTTTCCAAAGAACCTGGGTTCAGTTTCCAGCACCCGCATGGCTGCTAACAATTGTCCATAACTCCAATTCCAGGGGTCCAACACCCTCCTCTGACCTCTGCACGCATTGCACTCATGGAGTTACTTATATACATGCAGGC